TAAATAATTCTCTCTTAAAAAAAACAGTGCAATCACGTAAAATACAATAGTCAGTGAAAAATAATTGATTGCATAAATGAACAATGGGTATATGATTAATTCAATAAGAGAGATTCTTACTGAGTATTGACTATTTTTTCATAAATCAAGTAATTACAGTGAAACTCTTTCCACGTCACCCGAGGGGTAGAGTCTTTGACGCGTTTTTTTTAAAGTGGTATCCCCTATAGGCCTAATCCACTAAGTCAATGAATGGGAAATTGTTATGATTTGAAAACCTGGAATAAAAAAAGAACCATGACATTAATTAATAATAAATAATAATGAATTAATAATAAATTCATCAATTTCTATGGATATTCTAGCTGCAATGTCGATGTTGAATCATCTCAGCAACACTGATTTCGGAGAAATATTGAACGATGATGGAAGATTCGAGGAAGTTGTCAATGACATAAAACAGGTGAATTATTTAATCAATGACAATAAATGGATAATAAGTCGGTTGTCTCATTATTTTCTTGTCTTATTATTAGATATGCAACTTACCAACTTTTCGTGAGGTTTCCAAGTTTAAAGAATTGGAATCTGAAAAGGAAGTTCTGATCGCTGGAAATCGTTCTCTGGCCGAAGTCAATCTAGAAAAGCAACCTCTACTCGAGGAGAATAAAAAAACATTACATGAACTGTCTGAAAGAAAGGCTGTAAAGAATCGGAAGTAATTATTTAAGCAATTATATAAACAATTATCAAATGATAATTGTTATTTTTATTTGTATTCTCCTTCGTGTCCAGAAAATAGCTGAGAAATTCTTATTGAAAGATACAGAAGTCGATGAATTCCTGGAACAATTCTTGACCTGAAGAAAGATAATGCATTTACGAAAGGTGAAGGTAGACAAAATGCGAGAGCTTAAGAGGAAACCGAAATCGTCAACAGGGGGTTATCCAGCAGTGAACACCTTTCGCCGCCCAAGTTTTCTTAAAGCTATTTCCATAATGTGGATCAAAATAATTCCCACGATAGCCCTCATCTCAGACAACAAGACAAAAGACTACATCGTAGGCTTCACGGACCTCGGAAATTGCGACGATTTTTCCACAGAGATGATGGAGTGGAGAATAGCCCAATCTGGTGCAATATGATACACTGGTGACCTGTTGAATCCACCAGAAAAGGGAAAAAAGCCGTCTAATCTACTCTTTGGAAACGAGAAATCAAAAACAATTCGAGGCAGAACTAATTCTGACGACAGTGGTTCTGATAACGAATGATTTATTCTCATTCGATCGAATTTTCCTAGTTATTCGCATACCTTTTTGTATTATTATTTTTTTTTTTACGTCACGCACACTGGTAAATGATAAATTACGAATTGAATCAATCTGATCGAACACAATAAACATTTATTTATGGGTTTATATTGAATTTTTATTTGAGTTATAAATACCTTCAGCCCTCCTCATAAGTAAAAACTGAAATATAAAAATGTTTTATCAGGAATATTATGGAATGATATAACTTTTACATGACCTGCATACAGAAATAAATATATAGTAGTTTTCAAAAAGTGCACTATCCACTCTGGGTCGAATTTGAAGATTATTACCACACACTGAAAAGACATAAAACATTGGCTTTTAAAATTGTATTTAATCGGTAAATACTACGAGTATTAGGCTATGGTGCATTTACCTGGATATATGAAAGTATTTTTGAATGAACCTTTTTGTTGAGACTCATCTCGCTCATCCCACAGGGTCGTCTCATCGCAGGCACAAATTCTTTTCGTATTTTCGAAGACTCCTGATGATCTCGTGATAATTCCACACGCTAGTCTGTGCAATAAATTATCAAAAGTCTTGAATAAAAGCATAATCATTCATAAACTCACTTCTGGCCACTATTTCCATCAAATTTTGATGTTGAACTATTCCCCTTGTCCAGAACACCGGTCGCCTCTGTATTAGCCTCAACCATTTTCTCTTC